CTTGGTCACCTTGTCGATGCCCAAGGCGTGCGTCCAGACCCAGAGAAAATTCGTGCAGTCACGAACTTTCCCGTTCCGAGGACCACAAAGGATGTCCGCAGTTTTGTGGGGTTGTGCTCGTATTTCAGACGCTTTGTTAAGGACTTTGCGACCATTGCACGCCCACTCACAGACCTCTTGAAGAAAGACGCGTCGTTTACCTGGGGCCATGATCAAGCGTCATCGTTTTCGCAACTTACGACACTGCTTACAACGCCACCAATCTTGGCTCACTTTGATCCATTAGCCCCAACCGAGGTTCACACGGACGCCAGTGGACACGGCATAGGAGCTGTGCTATTGCAGCAACAACGCGGACACGACCGTGTTATAGCCTACGCAAGTCGACTACTATCTCCAGCCGAGCGCAACTATTCCATCACGGAGCGCGAGTGCCTCGCCCTTGTATGGGCAGTCGCCAAGTTTCGCCCATACCTGTACGGGCGCTCATTCCGTGTTGTGACGGATCATCACGCGCTCTGCTGGCTAGCCTCCCTGAAAGACCCCACGGGACGTCTCGCTCGTTGGGCTCTACGCCTTCAAGAGTACACGTTCTCTGTAATGTACAAAACAGGGCGATTACATCAGGATGCGGATTGTTTATCCCGCTACCCTGTTGACGAAGCAACCGATACCGACGCTATCACGGACGTTTTTTCCGTGTCGCAGCTGTTAAACATTGGCGAAGAGCAACGTCGGGATGCTTCTTTACGAGCCATCATTGACAAACTGGAGTCAACGCCACGCGACCCGTCCGTACGAATGTTTTTGGTGAAAGACGGGATCCTATATCGCCGAAACCTTGATTCCTTCGGATTAGACTTACTTCCTGTCATCCCAGCGCACCTGCGTTCCTCTGTCCTGCATCAACTCCATGACGCTCCCATAACGGGCCATTTGGGCGTTTCTCGCACGTACGATCGAGTACGACGTCGGGTTTTTTGGCCTGGACTTGCCCGCTCTGTTCGACGCTATGTCGCCGCTTGTGAGCCTTGTCAGCGTCGCAAAACGCCGTCTGCCCTCCCAGCCGGCTACCTTCAGCCGATCGACGTTCCCAACGAGCCTTTCTTCCGAGTTGGTCTCGACCTGTTGGGCCCTTTTCCACTCTCCACAGCCGGAAATAAATGGATTGCTGTTGCCACGGACTACGCTACGCGGTACGCAATCACACGAGCACTCCCGACCAGCTGCGCTACCGACGTTGCGGACTTTTTGCTGTACGACATAATATTAGTGCATGGTGCTCCCCGTCAACTTCTCACCGACCGTGGTCGCACGTTCTTATCAGCTGTCGTTCATGAAATCCTGAGGTCTTGTCATACCAAGCACAAATTTACTACGTCGTACCATCCCCAGTCAAATGGCCTCACGGAGCGCCTTAACAGGACCCTAACCGATATGCTGGCCAAATACGTTGCGCCAGACCACCACGATTGGGACATTCATTTGCCGTATGTGACGTTCGCCTACAACTCATCTCGTCACAACACTGCCGGATATTCGCCCTTCTACCTACTATATGGCCGGGACCCAACTCTACCTTTAGACACGTTACTACCTGCGGCCACTGAATATGCTGGTGAAGCCATTGCCCGCGCCGACCACGCGCGCCAAGTCGCCCGTAACCGTCTACAGGCTTCACAGGCGCGCCAACAACAGCTCTACAATTCTCACCATAGGGACGTGCACTTTTCTCCGGGTTCTCTCGTGCTCCTCTGGTCACCTACTCGGCGTGTGGGACTGTCGGAAAAACTGTTGTCGCCCTACACTGGACCATTCCGTATTGTTCGCCAAGTGACAGACGTCACGTACGAGATTGTTCCAACTGATCCCACAAAGTCATCGTCAGCTCCGAGCGACACCGTTCACGTGGCTCGGCTAAAGCCCTATTACCCCCCTTCGACATCATCTGCGTAAATTTAGCACCGGGACGGTGCTTCTACCGCCGGGGGTTATGATACGAAAATGCGGCTAAACACGGCTGCAAGAAAGAGGAGGACGAAGTGGGTTTTTCCGTTGGATGCTGGTCTGGCGCCATCTTACTCGTCGAGCTCTGTGCGCTGTAAATAGATTATTAAAGAAGTTACTCGTAACAATATCCAGGCTACAAACAAAAAATAAAAACAAAGAAAGTCACGCAACCTACCCTGGAGGGGGGTGTGGGGGCGAGGGGGTAAGGGTTGAGGAACAACGAGAAAACTAAGAGCGTGTGACACTATACGGTTCGCCGTGCATCGAAAATGGTTTCTTATCAATGTGCAATGTTCAAGAATACACGCAGCATCTGCATAACGGTGATTCAGCGCGCCATATGCATAAGAAGTGGCCGTGTTGTAGACCGTACACACAAGCCAAGCCGTTCAAACAAATATTTCTTTGTCTTCGGGGACAGTTAGTTATCAGAGGATATATTACAGCCCGCATGATACTTATCAATTTTCTATTTATTTTTCTGCATTTATGTTCACTTCGTTACTCCTAGTGTCAATCGCTTGGCGGATCGTATCCGTAGTGGGTTGTCCTATATTTCACGTGGGGCCGATGTTGAGAGCGCGTGGTGGTGCGTTATAGCACGTGCCCCGAAGAAGAACAATCGTCCACGCCTTGCAGCTGCCTCGGCGTCTCTGCTCTCCAATCCTGCTCCATTTTGCTCACCTTCGAGTCCGCAGGTGAGAATGCTTGCAAGCTGACGGACGTTGCTCTCTTATAGATATGCTGAAACTATGTATAAGTACGGTTATGCCGAAACTACACACACTAAGCCGCAAGGGAGCCAAATGGGAGTAGCTGCTGAAGATCGTTTCCGGTAATATATAGTCTGTCTGCAAAGATAGTGACGACAAGACAATTGTGTCATGTGAAAACCGAAGGCGTAACTGTATAGGCCCACGAGGGAGTTCCACTCCCGTGGAATTTCCCGGTGCAGTGGCTAACGCAGTCAGCTTCGGTCGGGATTCGCGTAAGATTCGCGTCCGCAAAGTAAATAAACTGTTAAAAACTTCTGTGAAGAAATTACAAAAAAAAAAAGCATCTGCGCGAAAAATTTTGCCCAAACCCAAGTTGTATCAATGTGCGGAGTTGTTTTTTTCTCGTCGTATGCACCGGGATGGCAAGCCCGATTGATTGATTGATTGAAAACGTGTCGCTTTCTGCTATTGGAGACGATGGCGTCAGGTCGTGGCAGTATGGCGGCAATGAGGAGCCAGGGCGACGTTGCCTTCAAGGACGTCGCCAAGAAGCCAGACGTGGACACCGAGGACAGAGTCGAATCGTCCACGTGTATACATACTCATGTAAAATTGAAAAAAAAAATTCGGGGGAGAGGTTGCACGTCCTTGCTATCTTCTCCTGCCCCTGGCTACGTGTATGGAGGGCCTCGTTCTCGCAAACGGTCAGTAGGTTCCCCTCAGCTGCTTATGGTGCAGGATGTCTCAACTTTATCGCTAACGGAGCATCAGAGAAAATAACTATGTATCGTATACTAAGCGAGCAAGACCATGTTTTTGTCTGAGTTGAGGAACCGCTAGTGTGAACATTCTTCTTGCACTTACTTTATAATTACGGCCAGATTTTTGTAATTACCCCATTCATGTCGCCATAGGAGGTTCCCCCGTCAGTTTCTAAGAAACTTTGGGACCTCCTCCTGTGCTATTTCAACCTTGTAACCGAATGTGAAATACGTAATAAACTTGACTTGGCTTGAAAAAAAAAGATAAATTAATATTTAAAGTCGTAATCGGCGATACGTCAATGAAGGCGCAAGATGAGGCAGTTTTCTTGTGCGTTGTCAGTCAGCTACAATTACTGTTATTACTACTACTGAAATTACTACTGATTACTACTGAAATAACTGCTTAATTCACTGCAGTATAAGTATTATCTGTGCGTTAAGGAATTTTGTATTTTAAGCGAAATGAATATTTTGGTCGTGGCGTGTTCCGGAAACTTCATTTTGGTTAGAATAATCAGGCATTTCATAATCGGCGGCAGGCACTGCGTTGCTGCGTTTGATGCCCTTTTATCAACATTCTTTCGTACGCTTAGTTTGTAACCGTAGTTGCGAACCTTTTACGAGTTTCGCTTTAGCAATGGCTGCTGCTCGATGCTTCATTCTCACCGAAGGTAACACACAAAAAGTTGAAGGAGAATGACTCCACAGATCTACAGAGGACTATGCGGGGCGGGACTATTCTAGGCAGGGTTAAATTTCAGCATATTGTGATATTTTTAACGGCGACATTTTAGGCCAGCCACAGTGAGCGTAGGAACCCTCTTATGCATCGCAGTTGGTAACATGGTGGAACTCCATAGTATTTAGAATTGTTACCGTACTTTAGAAACCGCAGTGTAGAACACGAAGCAAGATGGAGACAGTATTGTCTGCATGCATTCAGCTTGTCTCGCATTCGCGCCGTGCACTACGATTTCTGACTCTACGAATATATCGCCCAGATAGCACGCCCAGTCTGACTGAATCTGACCGACAGACCTTGAGTGACACTGACTGAGTGACTGACTGGATCAAACTTATTGGTACTGACTCTGACAGATTGATTGAATGATACATGTCGTAGGCTGATGCACACGGGATATATGCTAACAACAGTACTGAAAGTTGGGCGAGTTGGTACTCATTCATGACTTCTTTGCGCAAAACCCGTACACGGACACAAGGAAAAGAGGCACCCGTGTTGTTGCGCCCGTGCTGTTTGCCTCTTTTCCTTGTGTCCGTGTACGTGTTTTGCGCAAAGAAGTCATGAGGGATATATACTGTAGCGCAAGTAACACACGGACGGAACTGGACATGTTTCTGTCTTCATTTTGTCCGTGTGTCTCTTGCTCTGCAGTATAGGCCTAATTGATACATTGATTGGTTGGTCGATTGATTGATTGATTGATTGAAAACACGTCGCTTTCTGCTATTAGAGACGATGGCGTCAGGTCATGGCAGTATAGCGGCAATGAGGAGCCAGGGCGACGTCGCCTTCAAGGACGTCGCCAAGAAGCCAGACGTGGACACCGAGGACAGAGTCGAATCGGAGCGCGACGAAGAGTCTTCGACGTCGGTCTTGCGGGCGGGCGTGTTCCGCACCTCGAAGGCCCGCTGGGGACGCTACTCGAGGTGCGTCGTGACCGGCGGTGTGGCCACGCTGCTCGCGTGTCTCGCCGTACCCTCCGGAATTCGGTAAGCGCCGCGAAGATCTTACAGCTGCAGAGCTGTCACGACCGCCGTTCGTCGGGTTCGCGATGCAGACAAGCTATCGTCAGGCCGTCACATGTATACACAAATTATCGTGACGTCTCATGATGTAGGCAAACTGTCGTGACGTCGCACATATTGTGACGTCACATCCTGGCTTAATCACAAAACAACGTTGCCTGGACAAAGACGGGCCGAAGGCAGGGTAAAACAAAACGCGTGGTGCAAGAACCTTACAATTCATCCGATCATAGAAACACTGCAAAACTACGGTACTTGCCGAAGGCTTTCGGAAGGGGTCGTGGGAGGTTGAATACATCGACTTTGAAGAATGAGAAGATGGCTTTCCCCTTCGAGTCGACTGGGGTAGAATTTCAGCCGAGACGATAGTGTCGACGTGCGCGCTCATTCGACGTCCATGTCAGGCGACAACACCGCACGAGGTTATCACTTAGTTACTCGAGTTTTCTAGCCACCGGGTGGTATACAGCGCCCACTCTTGCGGGATGATTCGCTTGACGGGGCATGTAACGAGTGCGTTTCTTGTTTCCTCGCGAGGAACATACGGCCGCAGCCGGGAGGGCTCTCCTTCTCGCGCAGGTCCTTCGTTGGCTGCCAGTCGCCGAAGTGCGAGCGCTGGATCGAGGAGATGAGCTACTCCATCGACGCCACCAAGAAGCCGTGCGACAACTTTTACGACTACGTGTGCGGACGCTATGACGTCGCCTCGGTGAGAAGTTTACCCAACATCAAGTGCCAAAAAAGGGTCGACCGTCGCCGTCAACCCGAATTGATGAAAAAAAAAACACCATCACTTGATGACATTTTTATGTGACGTCACAGATCACCGAAATTTGAAATGTCACACAGATGACGTAACATGATGACGTCACACAGATGACGTGGCACGATGACGTCATCACGTGACGTTGGCCCTTGGTCAAAGGCTGCAGGCTAGCGAATTAGCAGGTGTACAACGGCGGTCTCAGTCACAGCTGCCCTGCAAGAGGCAGGACAGTGAAGAAAGTTCGAAGCGTGGATTTTTGGCGCCAGGATTCGAGAAGCATCTGGCTACTGGTCAAAGTGACTGATTGGGCCACTGATCTTTAGAATGATTCAAACCTTTTCTAAACAGCTGGAATACGTATATTATTCAAAGGTGTGCCATGCTATACTCTTTCGCCTCCTTTCCTTCCTCATTAACCTCAAATCGCTCACACTTACCTCTCCTATCCCAAGTTCCCAAGTTCCCTTTTTCACGCGTGGCTTTGCTACTTTAGGAACTGCTCGGCGTGTACCTGATTTCTGTGGTACATACCCATCTTAGTTCTTCTGTCTACGCTCACTCCGAACTTAAACAACTCCGTCGTTAAAGGGAGAAACAGTGAGTTGTTTCAGGTTGATAAACTGCACTCGGAGCATTTCTATCAGAGCATTTCAGCATGCGAAAGCAACAACACCACATCCTCGTGCTTTCTCGTTAGTTGAAAAGTTTCATTACTAAATTTTGAGCCGAAAAATCCACGCATGACGTAACAAAATATCAAAACGTATCTTTTGTATTTTCGCGACGTTGTCTCGCTGAATTTTTTTTTTTGAAACTTATTAGCACAGATGACAACTTACTTAAATTTCGTTGATTAGAAGCTATACGTATAGGACCCAGTAGACGCCTTAAAGATTTCTTACGCCACGATGTTTGGTACGGGAATCTCAAGGGGGCGTCTCCGGCCGCATTTTCACGCGTTTTCTCGCTCACCAAGTCTCGTGTAGCGGTAAGAGTGGTGTTTACGGGATTGTGATATAACAATACGAAAAAAAAAACTTTTGCTCTTTAGTATTCTTTCAAATTAAGAAAACATTCACGTAGCAGTCGATGGTCTTGCAGCAGCGCGACCACGTGTTCCACGTGGTATCTCGCGTATGTAATGTTGTCCCCTTGCATCGCGTGACAATCGGACGCAGGACTCCCTGTTTCCCAACGCCTTCACGCGGCTTCAACTCCGCATCCTCCTGTCCTTCTACAAGAGGATCATGCTGCAGGACGTGGACATCATGCGCGGCGAGGAAGGCGAGGACAGCCCGCGCTTCAAGGCCGTCTACATGACGCAGCAGTGCCTTCGGGAGGCACTGAACAACGTGGACCGTCTCGGTGCGTGTTCCGACTCGCCGCGGTGCGAAATGCATCGCCGCCGTTTAGTGTATAATAGAGCAAGAGTTATTCCGCACTTGCGCCAACAAACGGCAAGCCTCAGCGCGACCGTTGTTTGACTTTCTCGAATATGTAGATCGTACTGGCTTACGAAGTATGCTTGCACTATATTTCGTTCCACATACAGCAGCAGACGTGTACAAAGCAAACGTGTACAAACGTGTACAAACGTGTACATGGACATACCTAGTCGCGCCGTGCTCGTATCAAAGGAATACTGGGATAGTGTCACGTGTGTGGTTTGATTGGTAACATTTAAGCGCTTTACATATTGGTTGGCATATTGCAATCACAACAATGTACCTGTGATGCATCTTTGGTGTCACCTCTTACTTAGGTAAAACGCCCCTCATGTTTGCGCGTCAGAATTCAAAAGGTTAGTCAGTGACGTCCTATAACGGTGTGTCAACCCTTGTCATCTGCAAAATGAAAAAACAAACAACAACAACAAAAGAGCGAATCCGTATGGCCATGTCACATGCTGGAGAACAAGAGTTTAGAAATGCAAATATGTATAGTCAAGAACAGAAGTACACTTACAAAAATTGGATGCTAACGTTTCACGTTTTGAACGGCCTTCATTTTGCTCTGGTCGATACGTAAAGCAGTAAAAATATCCAATTTTCGTAAGCGTGCTCCTTTATTTCTTGTTTATAATTGCACAGGACCTGCAGGAGTTTCTTTTGAATCATACATGTGTATATAAGGCAGCTTGAAGTTTAATGTCTACCATCGAGGCACTTCGCCGAAAGGTGGAGCTTCGATGGCTATAACTGTGCACGGAACAGCTATTAAAAATGTTCGCGTACTAATGCCTAAAGCAAACCATACTGGTGTTTATATACATGGGCGTACACCGACGACTCTCACCCTGTGATCACGAGTACTGGCTTTGATTTTATGAACAGCGCAAACAGAAGTGAGCAGGCACATCGAGGCGCTGTGATGCTCCAGGGGGGAACCTGCGTACAACCACGCAAACTGCGTCTGCTTGAACTTATATTTTGGAAACACACTCGTTTAGTACTCAGCAGCGGAGCAGTGACTATGGTGCCCGCGGATGCTGACCTAAAGGTCGCGGGTTCGATCCCCGCCGCGGCGGTCGCATTTCGGTGGAGGCGAAATGGTAGAGGCCCGTGTACCATACGATGTCAGGGGACCAGATGGTCGAAATTTCCGAAAGCCCTCCACTATACGGCCCATCTCATAATCATATATTGGTTTCGGGACGTCAAAGTCCAGATATTATCACAATAACAAGTTCGTAGGGCAGAATCGAGCAAACTTCCAAAATTTTCGCAGACACGCTCAGGGAGTTCCTGGCTACCTACAACTTGTCGTGGCCTCCCGACAAGCAGCGCCTGCCCACGTCTCTTCTGGACGTGCTAGTGGAACTAAGCCTGAAGAGGGGCATGCATGTTCTCTTCCACTTGCAGCCAGACAAGGATTTCAGCAGACCGGGATTCCATGTTCTCCATTGGGACATAAACATCCAAGGTGTCGTTGTGTGGCTGCTGCTGCGAGGAGTTATAATGGAAAAGGGAGAACTGGAGAAGGCCTTCCATCAGTCGGCGTTGCTCCTTACAGGCAGGTGTGTTGTATGCAGCATGATAACACAAGCACGAGCGAAATATTGGTATCGCCTTCTTTATTTACATCATGTGCGGCGTCGCGTGCTGAAGATCTCCGAGGCATACGAAGTCTGGCGTACTATGCAGAAAGCTTCACACGCTATAGGGAAAGCTTTTAAGCTGGAAATATTTTGTTGTGATTTGGTTCGTCTTTGTTTAGAAAACACACTGCGACTTTGTTTGTTCCGCGTTGTGGTTGCATGCTCTCATTATTATCAACGCATCTCAAGTAATTATGTTTAACACGTTGCGTGGATCAGTGATGTCCACGTGATGATGACGACAACGATTAAGTTCGCTTCCCATTTTGATCGGTAACCATAAGCGTAGGCTTTGCATCGATTCACTTTAAGCCATCTTTTGTAGGCCCTGCTTTTGACACTGCCAAGTTTTGGTGCTTGCATCCATGCACCCGGGCTTGGGTGATGACGCCCACCTTGAGTGACAACGCCTAAAAAAGGCGGCGCTCTGATATAAACCACAGATCGCGCTTATGTGGCTGTTGATATGATTGCACTTAAGTGATCATCATTGAGAGCCACACACTATAGCCCAATAATGCTGCCATTCTCACTCGCAGAGAACCTCCGCCTCAGCTGATCGCGCGTGTCATCGACCTGGACAGCCGCTTCCTCACGGTCACCGTAATGCCGCTTCTGGCCGTGCGAAACAACCAGACCCTCGAATATGTCAAGTTTTCGGACGCGGACTCGGTCACAGGGCACGCCAACAGCACTGTCAATTTGCTGCACGCTGTGAATCGCTTGCTGCCTGCAGACCGGCAGCTAACGGCGGACGACCGGATGGTCGTGAAGAACAAGTTCATCCTGCCATTCGTAAGCGACATCGTGCTCGGCGAGCACTCTGGCTCGGAGACGGCAGCCGGCTACGTCGCCTTCCTCGTTGCCCTTCAGCTGGCGCCGGCCATGTCGAGCAGCTACTTCGAAGCCCTCTTTCCAGGTGGAACAGTCAGTTACGTCGTCCGTCTGGTGATGTGCTTGGTCGTTCCCAACCAGCAGCTGTCGTACGCCATGGTGGACCTCTTCGTCGACTGGTTTGTCGAGGACGACAAGCTGGCCGCAATTCGCGCCATGTCCACGGCGCTCTGGAGGGCCACGGAGTCCATCATCACCGACCTGTCCTGGATCGACGAGGCGACGCGCAAGAGGGGACTCGAGCGCATTCGGCGTCTCGGGCGCGTCGTCGGCCACCCGTTCAACTTGTCCGACGCGAAGCAGGAACTGCGCGAGCATTACGCCTTCGTGCCGAAGCTTCCGGCCAGTCACGCCGACATGTTCACGACGTTACACGATGCCTACGCGAGGCGACGTCTGGCGCTGCTGAAGGCCACCGAGCCCTCGGTCAGACGCGAGGACCCCGAGCAGCCAATGATCTTGGTGAACGCATTTTACGTGCCCATCTACCACTGGGTCTTCATTATGGACGGTATCATGTTCGCCCCGTTCTATACGCTCACGGTGCCCGACTCGGTCAACTACGGAGCCTTGGGTCACGTGGTCGGCCACGAAGTGACGCACAGCTTCGATCCCGTGCTCGGTGTCTTCAACGCGTCCGGCCAGAAGGACGACTGGTGGAGTCCAGATTCGAGGAAGCTGTTCGACGAGCGCATCCGATGCCTGCGCAATCTCTACAACGCGGTTCCGTGGTCCTACGGCGTCAGGTAATCGACTATACCTGGAGCACTGTAGTGTGCGCCGTTAAATTTAACCAATTTATACAGCTCTCATTGGAGAGAGACTAAACATTATTTTCTGTCGTTGCTGGGGTCAAGCGGGGCGGGGAGCGGCAGATTAGCCCTACCGCAGATCCCCTTCACCAGGCGATGGCCAGTCCTTGTGTCGTTGCGGCGTCTTTGGCCAGCCGGATGAACTCGCTTGACACCCCAGCAACGACAGAACATAACGTCGGGGGGGGGGGGGAGGCGAAGGTTTTTCCCAACGCCTTCCCTCCCTTATTAAGTCTTCCCAGCGCCCCCCCCCCCTCTTCGGGGACTATGTGGGGAGGCCACTACCCCTGCCTTCCTTGTGCGCACGCCTGATGCTCTCACTGCTCGGGCTTGGTTGACTTTGATGTATGGTTGGTGCTATGTTTAATGGTGTATGTCACTGTGGGACATGTCCAGATAATGTGGTTGAACTTTTCTCTAGGCGGCCTGCTGAGCTCTTCATTGTGGAGTATAGAATGTCCCTACCTGTAAAATTCGTCATATTGTCGACTGTTGCTTATCTAGTGATTTGTCAAGGGGTGGAATAAGAGTTGCTCTGAAAATGGAGCAGCTTTGATTTGACTATACGCTACGATATTCCCTCGCATGTAAGTGAACTGAAGGACTTAATCTCGAAATTTGGGGACATTGCCAGTGGCACCATCTCTCATCGGAGGTGACGGCGCCTCGCCTTAGCCTAACGGGACATCCAAGTAATATCGCTGTAACGTAACTACAGCCCGTAGTACTCTGGGCTATTTAACAGTGCCCATTGAATTAAACATATCCCATCGTAAAATATTGACTCCGCGATTTACAGTGTTGCACTGCATTTTTTTCAGAACGTTCCATGCAGCCTTTACCATACAGAACCGCGAGAGTCAATTCTGAAAACAATTTTGCGTCAGATATTTTTCTTTCCACCTATTTTCACATTTTGTTACGCCAAGGCACCGTTGCCGAGAGATGACGCTACGTAGATACGTCTACTAGAGCTAAGGTATATGCTCCCGTATGAAGCATATACGTACCATAGCTCCAGTAGATATATGGTTCCTATGTGGGCTCATATGTGCTCTAGATGTGTTCTAGGCACCATTACAGTACACGCTCCATACGGGAGTATATGCTGTAATGCTATCTAGAGGTTGCCTACGAATCAACTCTAATGTCTAGAAATCCTGGTCATGTTCTCGTGAAGCTTGTGCCAACGGCCCCACCGCGGCGTTTCATTGGCGCGCAGGTACGGCGACAGCGCTCTGTCCGAGAACTTCGCCGACTGCGGCGGCATGGAGAAGGTGATGCGGGCCTTGCGCGATCTGGGCCCGCAGCCCGACGTGACGCTGGGCGAGCACCGCTTGACCGCCCAGCAGGCGTTCTTCGTCAGCAGCTGCTTCAAGTGGTGCTCCAAGTACGTTCCGAAGCCCGCGGCGGCCGGCGAGAAGCCCGACGAGATTGCGCAGCTCTACTCGCCCTTGAACATGCGCTGCAACGTTCCCCTGATGAACACGCCGGCGTTTGCCGACGCCTTCGACTGCGCGCCGGGCACCATCATGAGCCCGAAAGTGCGTTGCGAGCTTTTCTAGCGCAGCACTTATTGTTTAATTACGTAGCGGTCGCAATGAACATGAAGTTACAACAATATTAAACTAAGAATTTGGAAAGGACTAGACGAATGTTCAGGGAATAGCAAAAAAAAAAGTTTGGATTTTCGCCTTGTTTGGGGTCGCGAACTCCAAATAAATGTTCTATAGCGCGCTTGGCATTCCAAACTGTACAGTCACCAGCCTGATTTCATGAACTAAGCACCGATATAGCAGAAACTCGTTTTTGCGATAGATAACAACGTTCCGCGAACTTTTGCTGTTGGGTGTACGCTATAGTGAGACGCATATACACTGTAGTACTGTCATCCTTATAATGCTGTCATTCCCATAAGGCTGACTACACCGGCAGCCTCGCGCATTTTCCTTCTATCGGAATCCAGAGTGTTACATCAAATGACCACCAGTTATCTTGGTCAGCAAGTGTAATTTTGACATGAATAAGCTTCTTGGTACTACACTCTTAAAAAAAGGTACTTACTAACTTTGGGGTAGTAATGGTTTGTCACATATGTTACAACCCTGGTAGTAAGTGCAGTTAGTAACGGTGAAGGTGGTAACAGTTACTACCCTTGCCGGTACCACCCATGGGTAGTAACTTTTAAAGGTTTCAAAAAAAAAGTAGTGACCGATACTACCTTCTTTATTCATTTTGGCATATGTTCCACTGCTAATGTGGGCCAATGAATGTCTTATTACTAGACAACTTCGGGTAAGGAAGCGTGGTGTGTCATGAACGCGGGGAATACGTACACCTAACAAATTCACCATTTTTTACGCGTGCATTAAGCATGAAAATACGCATGGGGTATATATAGCCCCTACTTTGCAGGGGCATGTCTGGCACAGGGGAGCACTTGTGTTTCAGGATAAATTATAACAAATTTGAACCTATAGCACTATAATATACTACCTGGTTACGTATGTTTGGGGGTGTAGCACAAGACTTTTAAGCAGCCTTACTTATAAAAAATTGCATGTCATGCTTATTCATTATAAAATGGGCACAAAAGGGCGTTATCAACAGTGGCCAAAACAAGGTTATGAACTCCTTCTCAGTGAATTTGAATGCTTTACACGGCTAAAATATCAGCGTTTACAAGGTAATATTCGTTTTCGGGGTTTGACGCGCCAAAACAATGATAATGTTTAGAGACACGCCGCAGCTGATTGATTGTGACCGTTTTCGGGGCCAATTGTGACCGTCTGGTTATTTTGATCCGCCAGTCTTGTTAACATGCGCTGAAATTTACTAAGTTTGTTGTAATTGTCTATTGCAACGCGTGTACATTTGCCTATGGTTCGTTAACTTGTACTTCTACGTTTCGACAATATCAAAGTCACGTTTACATATCTCAGTTGCGTAAATTTAAAACAAAATGTATTTTCTTAATCTATAGATATCTTCTGCGTCATTTTATGGTTTAATAATAATACATCAAGACGATTCCTCTCACAAATATTCAGAATAGGAATCGCAAACTCTTTTGGAATAAACAGTCAACAGCCGGGTAGCAAAAAGGTGGTGACGGGGCAAGAACTGTAGTAACGGCTGCAGTTACTACCTCTTTCATTCCCGTTACTAACTGTGTACTAACGTAGGTAGCAAACAGGCTGAAAAAAGTTAGTAACGGTAGTAGCTAGTAACTGTTTACTAACGTAGGTAGTAAACAGGTAGCAAAAGGATAGTAACGGTCGAAGTAAGGTAGTAACCACTGCAGTTTCTACTTATTTGCTTGCAGTTGCTACCTTTTTACTAACTTTTTAAAGAGTGTAGTTAATACGTATTCTAGACGGTGCGCAGTGTACGTTAAAACGCCTCATTGAAACATCTGCCATGGTAGATCTGCCCTGGTAGATCTGCCATGGTAGATCAGTGGCTACGGTGCACATGCTCGGGTGCGTACCCGAATGTCGCTGCTCTTATCCCCGCCGTGGCGGTCGCATTTCGGGGTAGCTGGTGTCTAAAGGCCGTGTACTGGGCGACGTCAGTGCACGAATTAACACCGGACGGTTGAAATTTATGGAACCCTTCATACGGCGTACATCAATTACCGAGGTATACTGGCGCGTAATACCCCAGTTGTTATTGTTAAGTTTATTGTGAGTGAAACGACATGGTGGCCGCTTGTCGCTTTCCCCGTTTCAAAGCGCAGGTTATTAAAGATCAACGCTATACGCCTCTATCGTGCTGGAGCAAGCGAAGATCGAGCAAATAGGCGTGCTATAGCTTCGGCCATAAGGGGCACGCAAGCAAGCACGATAACCCGCGTGCACCTACGAAGCGAAAATCGAGAGAACGAGTGTGCTTCTCACCGCCGTGATATAATACGCTTCACGGAAGCTGTGCAAGAAGTTTGGTCAGCGATTTGTATCGCTTCTCGCGCTTGGCCTTCATCGTTGTGAACGCTGGTGCGAACCGAGCACGACCGCGTATACGCACAGTGTCGCGACGAGCGTTACTAGAATTCTAGTAACGTTGGTCGCGACATGGTGCTAACAAAACGCTTAGAAAACAAAGACGCGAATTGATCCACAACAAATTATTTACAGCTGTATAGCAGGGCTTATTTCCGACGCACAAAGCATCTTCATTTATTACTATAAGCCCAAGAAGGAAATGAAATATCTGAGGCGAGAAAACTGTTGCATGACTTTTTAGTGTGAATGCTAAGAAGTCGCTTTCGGCTCACCGCGAACATTGGGCGCCGAAACGTGAGCGCTAAAAACGCTGGACAGGAAGCTCTCTCACCGCCTTGAGCGCCCTAGGTGTAGGTGGCGTTGCCTGACCCCACTTACGCGTTCTAACGCGCACGTGTGGCTATAGGGCTTTATCGGTTAAAGGGAAGCTTGCACTTGCGCACCCTCCGAGGTATACGCGAACGTGCTTCTTTCGGGAAGTGGCCGCTTATAGAGACTGCTTCACCCTGTTATTGCAAACGCTGGTTTAATTTCCTTCATGTTGGCATCTGATACGCAACTTACCTAAGTGATACAGGTTGGCGCAAGGTCTTTCCGCGGTTTCGTTTAACTTGCTTTTGCAAGTATAAGTTAGAAGTTTGTATTTGTGAACCTGTTTAGGTTTCCACTCGAAATTCTTCTCCCTGCTAAGTAAATATCAGTTAGAAGTTTGTATGCGTAAACTTCTCTAGGTTTCCGCTCAAAACTATTCTCCTTGTTAATGTAAACGCTAGGTTAATTCTAAAATAAGAGGCCTGTTATTTCCGACAAAAGTAAACCATCAAAATTTGTAATGATGGCTTCAACTCTAGTCAAATTCACCAAGACTTCGAGGTATCGTTACAAAACCAGTAACATAAAGACACACTTTGAGCAGTATCTGACCGGGGAAAAACAAATGCCGCATTGAACGTATATGGAATGGTATAACAACGTTACCTAAGCCTTAGCGGCATGTAAGGGAAGTACTGTGTTAGTGGACCAGAGTCCCACGGGACGGCCTAGTGCTCTCCCATAGTAGAGTACCAAGTACTCTAAACCGTTTACCAGTTTTCTTTAAACACAAACTGTTTTCAAACAGCTGCCCCGCATGGCTTCCGGTTTTGTGCACGACGCACCACACGCACGCGTCGCAGCGCGTCAGCGCGTGGAATTTCGACGCGGCGTCGCGCCCTCTATCTGTGGAGAAAGTGGGCGCGCAGCTTCGTGTAGTCACGCTCCCTCTCTCTATAGAGAGTAAGGGCGGGGCCCCGCGTCAGAAAGCCCCTCGCTGACGCGCTGCAACGGGTACGTAAGGCCTGACCCCACGCACGCGTCGCAGCGTTTCAACGCGTGGTTGTTTTAGGAGCGAAGCTCCTTAGGGCGTGGGTTGTGCGTCCCCTGTATGTAGCCACCTCTCGTTCAGTTCTAAGTATTACGCTAGCCACCGCCCGATCTAAAGGGTACAGCCATATCCGTCCGTCCATCCGTCCATCCGTCCGTCCGTCCGTCCATCCATCCATCCATCCATCCATCCATCCATCCATCCATCCGTCCGCCCGCCCGCCCGCCCGTCCGTCCGTCCGTCCGTCCATCCGTCCGTCCGTCCATCCGTCCGTCCATCCGTCCGTCCGTCCGTCCGTCCGTCCGTCCATCCATCCATCCGTCCATCCGTCCGTCCGTCCGTCCGTTCGTCCGTCCGTCCGTCCGTCCAAAAGATGCAAGATGTTATAAACTATACGGCGGTACGTGTAGTTGATTATGAAAGATGCGAGGTGTTATAAAATAGGGATGATGCCACATATGGCGCGTGTCATCGTTCGATATAGTGCGGCGACGTACGCTAGGGGGAGCGTTGCAATAAAATCGAGTGGGCAAAATGTACGGAGGATTCATGGTTTACCAGGTTTACCTCCGGAGCTTCGCCCACTCATCATCATTCACTTCGTGGATATGGCGGCATTTTTTTTGACGTGGCACCACGTCCTCTCCCAATGGTGGTGGTAGTAGTGGTTAGAAGATGACAAAAGGTACCTAATTTCTGCAACCCGGTCGGGAGCACGGCGCAGTGCCTGCGGGGAAGGGAAAAGGGAGAAAAGTGGAAATAAGTGAAAAAGATTAAGTGAGCAGTGGTACGGTAGTCATCGGCACGAACAGCAGTCCGGAAGCAAGGGTAGGGGTGACAAGGGGCCCGTCCTCAGCGGTAGGCAGAGGGAGGCAGATGGAGGTAGGCAGATGGAGGCAGAGGGGAGCAAAGCAGCCTGGCGACCCTCTCTTGCTTGAGGGAAGGCGCTGTGCCGCAACAAACATCCATGCGCTGAAGCGCTACAACGCTTGCGTGGGATCAGGCCTTTAGCGAGTTGCCCGCTCATGATGAACACTTAGCGCCCTTTGACTGTGTCAAATATTTAAAATGTATTACAGGAGATTTTTCTTCTCTTTAGGTGCCTTTGTTTTACCTGAAATCGGAAAACTATTTTTTTCCAATACTCTACCACATCATAAAAAAACAACCTTTCTGATTCGGTGTTGGACAGATATAA